GCTGTATATTTGGAGTTTGCGTGTCTCTCTGCCCATGGTCGCGCGGATTTTTCTTTGGGTCCTCCGGTTTTTCTCTCCACATTTCGGATGAACATCACGTGTTTAGAGTATCAGGCTGATATACATGTCCACGTGATGATAAGCCACTTTCGTTGAGCTATCATTTGTAACCAGGTCACTTCTAAAAAAAAAAGAGCCATATAGGTCAGTGGTCCTTACCTGGTAAAATACAAAGATTAGTTTTAGTTTAGTTTTACAAACCAGAGTTTATATCTCACATAGATGCTCCCCCGTCAAACAATTTCGCGTTTGGCTTTGATGCTCACGATCCTTTTGCACCCTCTCCGGGCGTCGTTTGTGTTATGGCACAAAGGCAAAAATTTAAATGAAAGTTACGTGTACACTGGGGCAAGCGTCGTGAGCGAGCGCCCATTAGGGCGAGCGCGAGGCATAAAGGAGCGGCGTGGTACGGGAACGTCCCTTAAACACGCCGGCACAATGTCGATACATTTCTGGCCGAGATAAGGAGGACCCCGCTTGAATGTACTCGTCACGAGAGGTGATGGGAGACGCTTGGAACTATTTGCACTGTTGTTTGGATAACCGTGATGGTAATCCACCCATCGTACGTATGTACATATGTTGAACTTTTTCATACTTTTATATAGTAAACCGTGCGGGAGAAGGACAACAAACTAAGCACGAAAATCAGTTCTAAAGAAATTAGTTTTCAATCTAGATGATTTAAAAGTGCATAGCTCCAGTGGCTTCCTAATGTCAGATGGAAGAGCGTTCCAGACGGCAGGGGAAGCGCATTTGGAAGCACGTGATGCAGTGACCACCAAGAGCATCATCATCAGCCATGATGAAGGCCTCGCCCAAGCTATCGCTGTCTCTCACGATACTACGATGTTAAATCATAACAATAATATTGTAGCAGCGCTACAACGAAAACTAATTTCTTTAGAGCTGTTTTTTGTGTTTAGTTTGTTGTCCTTCCCCCACACCTCCGATTAGCACGGTTGGCTACGCACGGCGCAAAGGAAGTTCAACATGCATAAACACAACATACATACAACATACATAATCCTCCGCCTAGCAACCGCACGCAAGATGATTTCATCGCTCCACATCCTCAGTGGACATGGGCAAATCGCGAATGCCCGCACAGAAGTGAACGCGCGATGTGACCGCAGGCAGAGTGCGGAGTTCGACACGGTGCCCGACGGACGATTCGAAACGCAATAGCTCGCCGATGTCGCCAAGGAGCACGAAGCATCACGCGAAACCTCCGGTCATCCTCGCAGCGGCAGCAGCCGCTTTTGGCTGGCCAACGAACAAAGACGGACGGTCAGCGGGATTGCGCTCGTTCAGAGGCGCTTCTGCGGCCGTCTGGAACGATCTTTCCTTCCGATATTAGGAGCTATGCACTTCTCAGTCATTATCTAGATTGAAAACTCATTTATTTATGAGAACTGCTTTTTGTGTTGAGTTTGTTGTTCTTCCCCAGCACCTCCGGTTGGCACGGTTGGGTACATAATAAATATGTTCAACATACGTACATAGAGCTTCTCTGGAGTTCGTTAACAGGGCATCTGCCGGAGGGCTACTGTAAGAAGCTCCCGGCGGGGCAGGGAGAGAAAGGTCGGACTTCATGCCGAACACCACAGAACTAAACTATTGTTATTTGACCAGGTAAGGTCCACTGAGCTACGCAGCGCTTTTTCAGAAGTGGCTTGGCATCCCAAATGGTAGCTCAAGGAACTGGCTTATCACGTGGGAATTTAAAGCAGCCAAATCGCTCTGAACGCGTAATGCCGATTCTACATGTCGAGGGACAAGCTGGAGGACCCGGAGAAAAATCCACGCGACCACGGGGGGAGAGAGAGAGAACACGCAAACTCCAAATATACGGCAGGCATCAAGGGTCGGGATCGGAGCGACAACCTCCTGCTGTAAAGCAGGCGACGGAGTTAACGTCTCCGAGTCACCGCGGCGCCCAACACGGCAGCGGTCCAATCCGCCGGCACACGGGAGAGCTGCAACTCGTGCTGCGCCATGCAGCGCCACGACCCCCAACACTTCCCCTCTCGCTCACCGCACGTCACCACACTCCATTCCATCGGTGCAATGAAAAATCCCAAACACCACACCACCCCCACCCACCATCACCACAACCCACCCACCCACCTCGTCCACATCGACCCCCCCCGCCACCACAAACCCCTTCAATGACACCACCCACACCCCCCTCGACTGCAACCCCCCCCCACCCCCCCCCCAAGCTTCACAAACAGAGCCCTGGCCTGGGCAAGCAGATTCGGAAGTCTTCCGCTCTCCGACAATCCTCCATTCAGGCCTGAGGAGCGGTGGGACAAAAGGGGGCCGTGTGGGGAGTGGGGGAGAGCCTGAGAAAGGCTGCGCCGTCTTGCCAGCTCTTTTCGAGACGCCTTGACCCTTTCCGTCTGTCTCTCTGTCTGCCGGTCACTGTCCCCCTGTCTGCCGATGTTTCTTCATCTCGATCTTGATTTGAAGCTTTCGTGGCTGCAGGCATCCACGCTCTTTGGTTCTTTCGGTAAAGTCACGCAGGTAGAAAGTTAATCGGTCACGACGTTTCGATCGCAACAACAAGCGACCGTCTTCAGGTGAGCGAGAGAGAGAAAAAGCTACTGAATCAAGGGCTTGTATAGGCCTGAGATGGGTCGCTTGTGTTGCGATCGGAACGTGATGATCTATTAATTTACTACCTACGTTTCTTTGTCTGTCTGCCCGGGGTTTCTCTGCGTTAATGTCTACGGGACCCTTTCTGCCGCTATCCAAAACGATGAAATATAGAGGAATGGGCTTTACCCCTTCTTGCAGTAAAAAAAAGTGTTAAGATGTTCAAACACCAAATGGACGCCTTTTGCAAGGCACACGTGTGCTAAATGCAGACTTGATGCCAGAAAGGGTTAAGCCTATTATATTTCTAAGCCTATACACATATTTGTCATCGTTCCTCTGCATCTCTGTGGGCTATTGTCGTCTCTACGTCCCTCTCCGAATCACCGATTCTCTCCTCTAGCTTGTATAACTGAATGGTTTTGTATCTCTCTCGCGAGTCACCTTGTCTCCATGTCTACCAGACATCAGTGAAAGAGAGCTTTACAGCTCATTGGATTCCTCCAGTATAAATCAATATTCTCATTCTGTAACTGTCTGCATTGCGCCCCTTCTGTCCCACACATCCAGTCTCTCCGCGTTTCCTAGTCGCTTGCCTCCCTGTGGTTTGGCTCTCCCCCGTCGAAGTCATTCTGTGACGTTATGTCTACGTGCATCTCTGTGACGCGGACAGTGACAGAGACACTCAAGAAATAGACAGAGAGAGAAACTCAGTGTCTCTCTCCACGTCACTCTTTACGGTGGACCGCTAAGTGTCTCTCTCTACACATCAGGAAGCCACTGGAGCTACGCACTTTTAAATCATCTAGCTTGAACACTCATTTCTTTCGAACTGCATTTTGTGTTTAGTTTGTTGTCCTTCCCCCGCACCTTAAATTATCACCGTTGGCTACGTCCGGTGCGAAAGAAGTTCAACGTACACACACACTCTTACTATCTGTGTCGATCAATACAAAAAAAGTGTGTCTCTATTGCGCTCATCCTTCATAGTTACTCTCTCACTGTCCGTCTCACTAAACACCCCCACCCCCCCACTCCCCACTCTCTCGTCTCCCAATCATTCTCCCGCTGTCTCGGTCGCAAGCCGCTTCTCTCCCTGCCGCTTTCATTCCCCGCTCCCCTCTCTCCCTTGTCGAGGTGACCGAGAGCGCCGAGACACATCGTCGTCGTGCTAATTAAAATCCCCAAGGCCTTCACTCCCCCCACCCCCATCGCCAGCATTCCTTCTCAGCAACAAAAGCTTCGGGGGTGGTGGTGGGTTGTATGTCTGTCTGTCTGTATGCCAGTGTTCTTCGCTAATTTTCAGAGGGGCGGAGGGGCAACTTTCGCCGGTAAGACATCATTGTGAGCGAGGGCGGATACACCATTTGAAACCGCTGTTGGGTTTCACAGCAGCACGATGATGATGGGAGTGGTGTTCTCAACATTTGTGAATTGTCAGGGGGTCGCACGAAAGGCCACCAAGGGACCACCAGCGGCCCGTGAGCCAAGAAATAAAGAACGCCGATGTTTGTTGAACTTCTTTCGCACCATACGTAGGCAAGCGTGCTAAATCGGATGTGCGGGTTGCAGATCATATGGGGGAGCCTCTCTCTGCACCGTGCCCCCCTCCGTCTCCACCCACCACGAGGGCCCCCCCCCCCCCCCCATTGTTGAGACGCCTGCAGCATAGACGTCTTTATGTCCGAGAGTAAACTTGGTTTGCCTGATGTAACATTCAACGATCAAACTAAACTATTACTTTATTTTGCCAGGTAAGGCCCACTGAGCTCCATCGCTCTTTTTTTTCAGACGCGACCTGGCTATCACAAACGATGGCTCAACGAAGTGGCTTACCACGTGCAAGTGCATAGCGGTCAAACAACTCTCTGTTAACGAGCATGTCTGGTGCTTGAGGTAGGCCGATTTGCAATCCGCCACTCGCACCAAACGACGATCCCCCAAGCGTATTGTGTACACTCCAAGCCAACGGACTCTCAAGGTGTGTGCTCAGATTAGATGGATTGGCGACCCACTTGCCGTACTGCCACAACACTGACGCCACCTCTGCACACGACGCCTGCGTCGATTCCATCCATGAGGGTTTGATTCTATTTATTTTAAGCGGCTTGTTTATCCTTTCTCTACTTTGCACTGCTGTCGTGTTTTTGCGTCGTCTGTTGCTGTTGTTATAACATTCTGACCCCGTGCCCCTACTGGACATCTGTTTAGAAGAGCTTCACAGCTCATCGGATTCCTCCTGCAGTACAAACACACATCATGATTCCGAAGCAATCTCGCACGCACACAAAATCCGTCTGCGATCCACCAACCGCATCCTCCCACCAATCGCTGCTCACCGTCGGCCTGCGTGACGACGAGCAGCAGCAGGACCCCCAGCGCGAGCCTCCCTGGCTCCTGGAGCTGCCGCATGGCAGCTGCGGCCCCCACAACCTCCTCCACCTCCTCCACCTCCTCGTCAACCGTCCCAGGCTTGACGCTCTTCGCCCTCCGTCCTCTTCGCCGCCTTCCCACTCGCCGCACGTGCGCGCGCGTCCTCGTTTTTGCGCGCGCGTCCCGTGGCCTCGGAAGCGCACCTAGCCTGGCGCAAGAAGACGCTGCGGCGACGTCGCAGGTCACTTCGTGGCGTTGCTGTGCGTGCGTGTCAGGGTGGGCCTTCGAGATGAGTCGTGGGATTTGTGTTGCCGAGTTTGGCGAGGGTTTGGCGAGGGTTTGGCGAGGGATTGGCGAGGGTTGTGGGTCATGGGTCGTGGGCAGGAGCGTTCGGCCCGGAGTCGGTGCGACGAGCTCTGTGATGGGAGGTCGTGGCTGACCGAGTGTAGGATTTTGGTCACGTCTCTGCTTCTCTGTTGATTGTCGGTCACTCTCCCTTGCACCCTACAGGCACAAACGAAACAATAAACACGGCGATGTTACATTGTTGTTAACCGTACAACGTGCCATATCAACGATAATCATTTATAGTCCGACGCTGGCTGAAGGCAGACGCACACCGTTCCGGTGGGTGGGGACTGTTCGACCAAACTGTGCTTCCACCACACGGCTCTGCCACCGCCGCTCAGCCGGCACGTCCACCGCAGAGATGCAGCGACGGAATCAGATGTATTATCGCATCATGAGACAGTGAGAGATGGGGGCAGCTCCGGTTGGCCTTCATCCAGCAGTGGATAGGTCATGGCCGAGGGCTATTTCTGGAAAATGTCTGTTTAATTCGAACGTTTACAAATCAGCTGTTATACGAATGTTCAAATGATATGTAGTATTTGGCTCAGGTGCCAGGCTGGGTCCAGGACCTCTTTCTTAATTTATAATGACTGCACAGAATTGGCCTGAGGTTAAATGTTTAAAAATATATATTTGTTATGGGCCATTATATATGCCATAACCCCCACAAACACACACACACACAGACAAAGTTCCCCTTGTTTAGCCATACTGGCTGTTGGGGCAAATGCTGTTAGCGAGCGCCTATTAAGGCTGGTATGGTGCATGAAGGGGCAGTGTGGCCAGCTCCATGCATGGCCATCTTTGTATCCCCAGTGCCGATCTGTACACAAATGTATTAGCTAACCTATTTCAGTCTGAGTCAACCTAGGGGAGGTTTAGATATCGCACCGCCACCCATCTCATCCGCGGCTGGGAATCAAAACTCATCTTGCCAGTTTTCGTAGCTCAGCGCTCTCATCACGAAACTACAAAGACAAAGACCCGCCCCCTCATATAGCCTTTAACAGACTGTTGGGGCAAGTGCTGTTAGCAAGCAGCACCTATGAAGGCCGGCACGACACACGTGGGTGTGGATACACAGCGCCACGCCCGGCCGGCTTTGTCTCCCCAGTGCTGATGTATACACACACCACCAGGCCCTCATTTAATGCCGAGACGACCTCGGGGAGGCTTGGGACCGGTTCATATATTCGCCACTGTTGTTGGCCGTGAGCGCGAATCGAACTTGGGGTTGCCGGGTCCGCAGCGCAGCTGTGCGTCGACAGCCGCACTCCCCGCCGCGTGCGGTGACTCACACGGTCCCCATCGTGGCGGAACCTCCACTAAGCCGATGGTGCCACGAGTCGGATTAAAATCGCTGCGCAGGCACGCGAGGCACGCACGCGTATGTCCACATCGTCAGCAGCAGCAGCAGCATCATTGTCATCAGTTCTAACCTCGTGTGCCCCCCCCCCCCCCACTCCCGACGCCTTCAAACTAAACCGGGACTATTCCATCATGTGACACCGTGACGTCGATGCACGCCCCCCCCCACAGCGCGGGGCCCGGGGCACTCGCCCCGATTCGCCGTTACTCCTCGGGACGGCTCTGCGGGCGATTACCTCTTTCCATTACCCCACGCCTAGCTCAGAGGTGGCACCAACCCCAACACTGGAAGGACCTCTGCGGCAGTGTCATTTCTGATGGTGTCAATTCTGACGGTGTCATTCCTGATGGTGTCATTCCTGACGGTGTCAATTCTGACGGTGTCAATACTGACGGTGTCATTCCTGGCGGTGTTAATTCTGACGGTGTCAATTCTGACGGTGTCATTCCTGATGGTGTCATTTCTGACGGTGTCAATTCTGACGGTGTCAATTCTGACGGTGTCATTCCTGACGGTGTCATTCCTGACGGTGTTAATTCTGACGGTGTCATTCCTGACGGTGTTCATTCTGACGGTGTTCATTCTGACGGTGTCATTTCTGACGGTGTCATTTCTGACGGTGTCAATTCTGACGGTGTTATTCCTGACGGTGTTAATTCTGACGGTGTCAATTCTGACGGTGTTAATTCTGACGGTGTCATTTCTGACGGTGTTAATTCTGACGGTGTCAATTCTGACGGTGTCATTCCTGACGGTGTCAATTCTGACGGTGTCAATTCTGACGGTGTTAATTCTGACGGTGTCATTCCTGACGGTGTCATTTCTGACGGTGTCATTCCTGACGGTGTCATTCCTGACGGTGTCAATTCTGACGGTGTCAATTCTGACGGTGTCATTCCTGACGGTGTCATTCCTGACGGTGTCATTCCTGACGGTGTCATTCCTGACGGTGTTCATTCTGACGGTGTTAATTCTGACGGTGTCATTTCTGACGGTGTCAATTCTGACGGTGTCAATTCTGACGGTGTCATTTCTGACGGTGTCAATTCTGACGGTGTCATTTCTGACGGTGTCAATTCTGACGGTGTTCATTCTGACGGTGTCATTTCTGACGGTGTTCATTCTGACGTTGTCATTTCTGACGGTGTCAATTCTGACGGTGTTCATTCTGACGGTGTCATTTCTGACGGTGTCAATTCTGACGGTGTCAATTCTGACGGTGTTATTCCTGACGGTGTTAATTCTGACGGTGTCAATTCTGACGGTGTCAATTCTGACGGTTTCAATTCTGACGGTGTTAATTCTGACGGTGTTAATTCTGACGGTGTCATTCCTGACGGTGTCATTCCTGACGGTGTCATTCCTGACGGTGTTCATTCTGACGGTGTCAATTCTGACGGTGTTAATTCTGACGGTGTCAATTCTGACGGTGTTAATTCTGACGGTGTCAATTCTGACGGTGTCATTCCTGACGGTGTCATTTCTGACGGTGTCAATTCTGACGGTGTTAATTCTGACGGTGTTCATTCTGACGGTGTTCATTCTGACGGTGTCATTCCTGACGGTGTTAATTCTGACGGTGTCATTTCTGACGGTGTTAATTCTGACGGTGTCAATTCTGACGGTGTCATTCCTGACGGTGTCATTTCTGACGGTGTCAATTCTGACGGTGTTAATTCTGACGGTGTTCATTCTGACGGTGTTAATTCTGACGGTGTCATTCCTGACGGTGTTATTTCTGACGGTGTCAATTCTGACGGTGTCAATTCTGACGGTGTCAATTCTGACGGTGTTAATTCTGACGGTGTCATTTCTGACGGTGTTAATTCTGACGGTGTCAATTCTGACGGTGTCATTCCTGACGGTGTCAATTCTGACGGTGTCAATTCTGACGGTGTTAATTCTGACGGTGTCATTCCTGACGGTGTCATTTCTGACGGTGTCATTCCTGACGGTGTCATTCCTGACGGTGTCAATTCTGACGGTGTCAATTCTGACGGTGTCATTCCTGACGGTGTCATTCCTGACGGTGTCATTCCTGACGGTGTCATTCCTGACGGTGTTAATTCTGACGGTGTTAATTCTGACGGTGTCATTTCTGACGGTGTCAATTCTGACGGTGTCATTTCTGACGGTGTCAATTCTGACGGTGTCAATTCTGACGGTGTTATTCCTGACGGTGTTCATTCTGACGGTGTCATTCCTGACGGTGTCAATTCTGACGGTGTTAATTCTGACGGTGTCATTTCTGACGGTGTTAATTCTGACGGTGTCAATTCTGACGGTGTCATTTCTGACGGTGTCATTTCTGACGGTGTCAATTCTGACGGTGTCATTCCTGACGGTGTCATTTCTGACGGTGTCAATTCTGACGGTGTTAATTCTGACGGTGTTCATTCTGACGGTGTTAATTCTGACGGTGTCATTCCTGACGGTGTTCATTCTGACGGTGTCATTTCTGACGGTGTCATTCCTGACGGTGTCATTCCTGACGGTGTCATTCCTGACGGTGTCATTCCTGACGGTGTTCATTCTGACGGTGTCAATTCTGACGGTGTTAATTCTGACGGTGTTATTCCTGACGGTGTTAATTCTGACGGTGTTCATTCTGACGGTGTTAATTCTGACGGTGTCATTCCTGACGGTGTCATTTCTGACGGTGTCAATTCTGACGGTGTTATTCCTGACGGTGTTAATTCTGACGGTGTCATTCCTGACGGTGTTAATTCTGACGGTGTCATTCCTGACGGTGTCATTCCTGACGGTGTTAATTCTGACGGTGTCAATTCTGACGGTGTCAATTCTGACGGTGTTAATTCTGACGGTGTCAATTCTGACGGTGTCAATTCTGACGGTGTTATTCCTGACGGTGTTAATTCTGACGGTGTTCATTCTGACGGTGTTAATTCTGACGGTGTCATTCCTGACGGTGTCATTTCTGACGGTGTCAATTCTGACGGTGTTATTCCTGACGGTGTTAATTCTGACGGTGTCATTCCTGACGGTGTTAATTCTGACGGTGTCATTCCTGACGGTGTCATTCCTGACGGTGTCAATTCTGACGGTGTCAATTCTGACGGTGTTAATTCTGACGGTGTTAATTCTGACGGTGTCAATTCTGACGGTGTCAATTCTGACGGTGTTATTCCTGACGGTGTTCATTCTGACGGTGTCAATTCTGACGGTGTTAATTCTGACGGTGTCATTTCTGACGGTGTTAATTCCGCGAAGGACACGAGCGACCGAAATGTGTTGTCACCGAGTTACCTCGTGTTAGCGTTAGACCTATAGGCTATTCGTATGAGTGGTAGGGCTGGTGGTAAGGGGGGGGGGGAATCACGTTCTAGGCAGTGCCAGATTATCCTCGTACAAAAGTAGCTACGTATGTAGCTACGGGCCCCACATTTTCAAGGGGCCCGTGCTAAATGCTTTCAAGCTGTCAATTCCGGTTCAGCGATTCTGCACCTGCTCTATTACTATAGTACTATACCGCCTTCAACTTTTACAAACGACTGGGTGTTTAAGGATGACTATTTATAGTATTATCTGACTGTACAGCAACTGAAAAAATATAATTACTTTACTATGCAAGCAAAAAATGCGTGTTTTTCTACTAATTTATTTAGGGCCCCTTTTATAACATATGCTACAGGCCCCGCACTAGCTTAATCGGGCACTGGTTCCAGGGTGAGTTTTCGTGTTCGGGGGGGGGGGGGGGGGGGCGGTGTGAGTGTCAAAGTGCGAGGCCTTAACTTTGTAAGCCGACACACCAGGCCCCCAGTGC